TAATGTGTACGTCTGAAACTTATATAATGTTATAAACCAGCAATTTTCAACCCGTGTCACAAGAATTTTTAAAACATGTAATACCAGACTATTTAGTCAGAGGCACTAATCTCTTTGCCCTTAGAATGTCAAATGAAAAAATGACAATAGCTAACACAATATCCATCCAGAGTGAATAAATCAAAGTTATACCTAATTTTTTGTTACATCTGGTGTGCCGCAGAATTTTAGTAATTAGTTCATGAGTGTTGTGAGATGAAAAAGGTTGAAAATTGCTGTTACAAACCAATGTTATCTCAATAGAAAAGAAAAAAGTGGCAAAATTTGAGCCTAACAACAGCAAAACTCTGCCTGAGGAAGCTAATGTGAAAGATTCAGAGTAAAATGTAGTAAATATGTTATTGATTTTGATCATTTAATATACCATATGGTTTACACACTTGTTTTTATGATAATATTCAAATGTACTCCTTTCAAGGAATGTCATAGGGCTTAAAGACTAAATCAAGGATCTTCTCTAATAGAACTTAAAAAATGTAGTGATAGAAAATATTGTATATTTGATTCTGCTTCCATTAAACAATCTAAGAAAACGGCTATTAAGCACTCTTCTCAAATGAAGACACTGCACTAGGCACTGGTATTTACAAAACCTAACAGCTAGAAGGGAACGTCAAGATCAAGGCCAAACAGCCAAACGTTGCATGAATCAGCTCTACAACAGTGCCACCAAGTGGCCGTTTATGTAACGTGTTCAATCACCTTGAGCAATAGGAACATATTTCAGAAGGCAGTCCACTGCATTTTCTGTTACTTGTGATTACTTGAAATAAAGAGTCAAATGATAACTTTATCTCCTCGCCATATTTTTATTCTCGTAGGCAATACAAAACAAACCTAATGACTCCTCTGCTTGTCAGATCTTCAAATATTTTTGAGACCTCAACTTTTATCTTTAACCTAAATACCCACATTTAACTTAGGTTATTTCTCATTTATAGTTAAAAAAATTTTCTCCTAACAACTTCCAAGAAGAAATGCAAACACAAGAGCTTAATTCTTGAAGTTATAAAGGAGAATAATTTTCAAAATTACACATATCTCTGAGCTGTAAACTTTAAAGCAACAATTTAAATACAGATCATTATTTTAAATACTACTGAGTGAAGCTAATTTATTTATAGACAAATGTATAGAAAAACTCATTAGTATTAGCAGAGATTTGATATTTTAAAAATATTTTCTATAAATTTAATAGCTTTGACAAATAGTTTTCATTTGGTAAACTTCAGCACAAATAACTACTTTAGAAAAATTATAAAAACCATTATTTTACATGAATGGCTATCACCAATAAATCAACAAACAAGTGCTGGTGGGATGTGGAGAAAGGGGAACGCTTTTGCATTGTTGGTGGGAATGCAGATTGGTGCAACCACTGTGGAAGGCAGTATGGAGATACCTCAAAAAATTAAAAATGAATCTGTCTTTTGACCCAGTAATCCCACTTTTGGGAATATGTCCAAAGAAACCCAAAACACTAATTCAAAAGAACATAAGTACCCCTATGTTCACTGCAGTGTTATTTACAATAGTCAAGATATGGAAGCAGCCCAACTGTTCATCAGTGGATGAATGGATGAAGTTAACTATGGGACATTTACACAATGGAAAACTACTTGGCTATTTAAAAAAAGAAAGAAATTTAACCCTTTGCGACAGCATGGATAGACCTGGAGAACATTATGCTAAGCGAAATAAGCCAGTCAGAGAAAGAAAAATACCATATGATTTCACTTACATGTGGAATCTAGTGCACAAACTGCACTAACAAGAAAAACAGAGACACTCATAGATGAAGAACAGGTTGACATTTATGGTGAGGTGGGCAGGTGGAGGGATGGAGCTAAAAGGAAAAAGGACTCATGGTCATGGACAATATGGAGGGGAGGAGTGTATAAGGGGAATAAATGGTAATGGAAAAAATATAATTAAAAAAAATAAAATAAATAGAAGTTGAGCTAAATCTTTTCAATAATACAAACCTTCGGATCATCTAGAAATCAACATAAGATCTGAGACTTGCACATGTGCATGTGTACACAAATATGGCTGTGCTAGGATGTAGAGCAAAACTATACCTGGTGTTTCTTCTACATCTGATCTCTTGCTGAAAATGAACGACTCAGAAAATAACCCCAAAAGAAGAATTTCTATTTTACTAATCAATCAATGAACCAGTAGATTATATTTACATTTAAATAGTGTTTTCACAATGAGGTAAATCTTTAGGTATTAGTCTATTATTAAAGTGAGATAGAAGTTAGTGTACAATCTGATATTCATCTTCAGCACAACCAGTTTCATAAATGTTATTTCCTATCAACAAGATGAATGAAACCAGTACTAAACAAAGAAATGCCAATTTCAATTTAACTAATTCATAGTTTTTATCAACATTTGAGTATTTCAGAAGCTAAAATAACTGAAATTGTAATTTAAATAACCTGTCAGCATCATACACCATTAATAGGTCATATAGTAAGATTTATTTTATTCTGAAAGAGCAAAGATAAAATTTAATGCTGGCTTATATTTTGGTCTACTGAACAAAGGGTTACTTTACCAAGTAAGCTTCAATGAATTTTCTTAAATGACTAAGCCATTAAATAAAATGACAATGCATTTACAAGAAGCATTATATTCTGTTTTTGAGCTCACTGTGAGCAAGAATAGCTTGCTATGCAAAAAAAAAAAAAAGAGAGAGAGAGAGAAAATATTAAATCAATTCTGAAAGTTTTGCATATTAAAAATAGGCCATGTTAATTTATCTAGAAAAAAGGTAATAGTCTTTTTTTTTTAGAGAGAGGAAGGGAAGGAGGAGGTGAGGGAGTGAAACATTGATGTGTTACCTATATCACACCCCAAAATGGAGACCTGGCCCACGAGCCAAGCATGTGTCCTCACTAGGAATTGAATCAGCAACCTTTAGGTTCACAGGCTGGCACTCACTCCACTGAGCAACACCAGCCAGAGAAAAAGATAATAATTTTTATTGAGCCTACCAGAATTCCTATTTCCAAGTGAGTTACTTGCTTGCTGGTTCAAATTTCAGCAATACAAATACTTACCTGGAACATGCTCTACATAATTGAATCATCTAGGTAATTCATGTTACCATTATGCAATAAAACATTTTATATTTTAACCATTTCTATAGACATTTTTCTAGAAGACTTTGCTTATCTCCCTGTTTTCTTTGAAAAGAGCTGAAACTCACTTTACCCATTTTCTACAGATTTAGTCACAACAAGAACTGAACTGCACAATGCTACTGCTGTGCTTTGATCTTATATTTTCTCACCTCTTCTTACTGTCACTTATTGATGACAGTATGTTCTGGATGGTTCTGATGCCTAAGTGAGAACCTAAGAGTGGTGTATAAAGCCTCCTATGTATGAAAACTTTGTGTTATCTGGCTACTCTTGAGTCCTTTTTCTCTCCCTCTTTGCCTCTATGGCTGGTTTTCAAACGACTTAAGTTACCATAAGAAAAATTAAAGCAACACAGACTGTTGACACTGGGATGGGAGTTCTAAAGAGCTCCAGGTGCCTGAACATGGGAGCAGAAAAAAAACCTTCCCTTACAGGGCAGCACTGGCTACTTTGTACAGTGAGGTCTCCATTTCTTTCTCCCTGGGAACTGGAATCAGCCTGCCATTCTAACTTTTCTCCTGTCCTTTCCCTAATATTCTTCTCTCCACATACGGTCTAGCAGTATAGCCTCCACACTGCCTGCTCATTTCACGCAGAGTGGAAACAAAGGCAGAAGCAGCAGCAATGCTGTCCAGTTATACATACACGATACAAGAGCTGTAAGACTATGACTACATTTTATAAAAATGATGTGTACTTAGTATTATTTATATATGACAAATAAATGTAAATGAAAACTATGAATCTGAGTTTATGTCTGTGGAGGGTGTTCTGAAGTAGCAAAAATACAAAGATGTAATTCTGTCTGGCTATTTAGGAGGCTAACAAAACAGGACTTCTGAAATAACTGGAATTCTCAAGACCATCAGAAATATTTATAAACCCAATAGTACATAAGTTAGAAATACAGAATATCTATACTTTCTCTCTCTATATAAATTGGATGAAGCACAAAATTAATTATTTAACTTTTTTCACTTTGTTAATTAAGCATTAGTAACACAGACCATAGTTTAAAAAAAATTCTGCCTAAATAAACTGATAACCTACTATTCTCTACCACGTAAGTTTCTACAACTCAAGTTTTAGAGAAACTTCTAAGTTATCAAAGATTAGTTGCTTATGTAATAAATAACAATCCTCTTGGCTGCAACACGTTTTCACTGCTCTGTAGTAATTTTAGCAGGAAAAAGGAAAAATGTTTTTGTTGAGTAACTAATAAGAATTTATTTTACTTTCAATTTCCCCAACTAGGGTGAGAAGCAACAAGCAAAAAACACATCTAAAAAATTAGGCCAACTGATTTACTAGGCTTGAATAAGCCACAAACTGACACTTCTGGTAACTGGTAATGATAAAAACTACTGATTTATAGAAAACAATGAATCAGAAAGTAAACAAGGACAAAACATCTTTCAAAAGAAAAAAACGTTATCCCATGAGACTTAGTTTTTTCCACATATACTCCAAAGCTACCCAGTTAACAAATCTCTAATATCTTACCGCTAAGGATATATAATAAAGATTCCAAATTAAAACTGTTTAAGATGACAACTTTCTGGTGGCACCTATAACCATATATCACTAAGGCAGAACTACTCCAGTGACTAAAGGACTCATGAAATGAAGGATGTATCCTTTACTCTTTTGATCTTGGATCAAATAAATTTTTCTTTCTCCCATCTGTAAAATGAGGCTAAGCTGAAACACTGTGAAAATTTATTACTGGTAAATGCTTATAATCTTCAGGTAAATGTTATATAAAATTAAGTACTAGATTCATACCTTGTTTTAATTCCAAACCTTCAGATTGCTTGTTCTCTCTCAGGGATGAGGTAGAGTCTATACAGGTATCTTGTCTGAGGAACAAAAATAAAAATAAAAATAATTTTTAAAACTATATTCAATCAAATAACATTTACAGCTCTATATTCAAGAATTAAGTTAGACACTTGGGAAGACATACTGAATTCTTCTAAGCCCCTAGTGTACCATTTAGTGTACTCCGGAAACTCAGAACCATGCATAGAAGTGTCAGAACAGCAGTTATAAACTACTACCAATTTAAGCAGCACACTTCTTTGTAAAATCAAGGGGCAAATCTGAAAGAAATATGGAGGTAATTTCTTCTCCCTTCCAATATCCTTCATAGTAGCTAATGGGAGAAGTCACAGATAAATCCTACAATTTTTCAAGTTCAACTGTTAAATTTAATGGGCATTTTGCAAACTATTTTGCATTCATCTAATTTTGTATCTCAAATGCTTTGATGTGTACAGTACATGGGAAAACACATATTTTATATCTGATATACATATAGAATCAAAGTAAATAGATTTAGTGAAAGATCATGCCCTAAAAGCTTTTTGATTTACCACGCTCTGCAACAGAGCAGCAACTAAACTAATGTTCTTTCTTACAGGGCATTATACCATCTTAATATTGATACTACAAACAGTTTTCAGCAAAAGTCAACTTAATTAATTTCAAATATTCCAAATGGTTATTTTCTTTAGAATAAATATCCATTACCTTCTGAGAATTTTTATACATACATTCCCTAAAGTTAACATACTCAAAGTATTTAGGAAATTTTCCTACTCGTAAAACTGTTTCTTTTTTAAACAATATTTATTTATTTATTTTTAGAGAAAAGGGAAGGGAGGGAGGAAGAGAAGGAGAGAAATATCAATGTGCAAGAGAAACATCAATGGGCTGCCTTTTTCATGCACCACAACCAACCAGGGACTGGGCCCAAAACCCAGACATATGCATTGAGCAGGTATCGAAACTGCCACCTTTCACTTTGTGGAATGATGCACAACATACTGAGCCGCGCCGGTCAGGACTGCCAAATCATCTCTATCAATTTAATAACAATTCCTTAAATAACCAAAAGATGAAGACACAATCGTTTTATTGAGAAGTTTACAATATTATTTCTAGTCAGTATACCTGGAACTTAACATGTTTGTCTTATATTAAAACTCTACTAATACATGTCTACTGATACAAGCATGAAATCAAATAGACACAATAAAATAATTTGAATTTGGTATTAACTATAATATCTAAGAGATTTATAATTGAGATAGCTCTGTATTGTGTACTTCTTTCCATCTAATATAAAACCTCCTCAGATTTTTTTCTTTTACCAGAATGACTAGCAGATCCCAAGGATGTTATCAACAATACTCCTTGGCAATTCAGGGCAGAGGGAATGTCAATATACTACATTAAAAGCTTTCCAAAGAATAAAGTTAAAACGTGCTACCTCAAACCTTACAGTCAAATTAGATTTTAACCTAATTGGTAGCACTAATCTAAGTATCTTCCTTTAAGAGAAAGTTTGCTCTTATACATCTTCAATGGAAACTGAGTTCTTCTTTTAAACATATACAACTGAATTTACAAAAAGTGATTTGAACGAAAATGTAACATCACTATTAAAATAGGGCCATGAGCATGTGAAATACCCTAAGGATACAACATCACCCATACAGTATTCTAGTGAGAACGAATACCCTATATCATAAGGTTATACCATCAAACACCGAATGGAAATGAGGACTTGTTCGATTAAAAGGAGGAGGGGAGTTAAATGTCGAATGTCTTATAAAAGACAAAGAGAGGCTGTGGAAATATTCCAGGATAAAGGAGCCATGAATATTAAATGTTATATTTGACTTGAGACTACTGAACTGGAAGGGGAAAAACAGTGTGAAGGGCTTTACTAAGTCAAATGACAAATCAAAATACCAATGGGAAATTGGATAAAAGTACTCTATCATTCTTAAATTACTGAAGTTACACTGTACTGTGGTTATAGAAAATAGAACATCCCTATGATTAGGAAAAGCACAATGTAATATTTAGTGGTAAAGTGTCTTGATATATGTAACTTAGCCTCAAATGTTTGAAACACACACACATACACACACACACACACACACAAAGAGGTGTGCAAATGGAGTAAAACATTAATGATAGGTAAATCTAGGTAAGGAGTATATTGAAGTTTCTTGTACTACTCTTATTCTTGTGACATTTTAATAAGACTTGCATTATTTCCAAACAAAAATCTTTAATAATGCAATAAAATGCATTATATTTTCTCGGTCAAAAACCCTTGGAGTCCCTTCAAATGAAACTGGATTCCTATAAAAACTATCTGCTTTCATAAAAAATTTATTTTAGTGCCTAAAGTAAACTTTTATAATGTTCTGTTTTATCTTAAATTGGGTTTTATCAGACTGTTAAAGTCATCAACAGAACTTTCAGACTGTAGGCCTAGTACACCACCTTGTGTCTGAAAAGTGAAAAAGTAGATGATTTTACATCAGTACTATCTGAAAATGAAGATTTCAGAAAATAGTTTGAAATTTTAAAACCGAGCTAATTTTTCCAAGATGTACACTTTTAAACTAAATTGTCATATACTACAGAGTTCTTTAATACAGTTCAAATATCTTCACCCAAAAGCATGAAAGGCAAGATATATATGTCTGTCCAGAAGGAATTTAGCCATTTAATAGAAAAGAGAGACATTTATTGAAGATACAAGATACAAAGAACATTGTATATAGGACAATGATACCTCAGCCCCCTTCAAAGTAGGCATCTTGGGACCTCACACAGTTCTCCCAGTCTCCAGCAGCTGCCCTGTCCTATTTTCCTGAATCTCATTGAGGGGCTTAAATTCCTTCCCATTCAAGGGTGATTTTAGTTTTGGGAAAAGCCATAAGTCACAAGGCGCCAAATCTGAGTTGTAAGGGGGCTGCTGAGTCACCTGGGTGATGTGATGTTTTGCTGAAGAACTCTACAATGAGATGTGATGCATGAGTGGGCACACTGTTGTGATGAAGTTGCCAATCCCCAGTTGCCCATAGCTGTGGCCTTCTGAATCATTCAAATACTTTCCATGGAGTAATGTTCAAGCTTAATGTAAAATCTGATGCAGATTCATTGCTCTACTCAGTCATTTTGAATGTGCCGGCCACACAGTACATACGTTCACTCAGTGGTGCCTACCGCCCCCATGGACTAGTAGTGAAGCCATCATTGTTCACACATGGACATTCCAGACCTTTATTCTTGGCTGCCTGGTTACATGGGTGTTGCACAAACTGTTCTCGTTATATGAAAGGAAATATCTTAAAGTATCAGAAGACTAGATGTACATATGAAGTCTTTTTATTTCTGGTTTTATGAAAATTAGAAAAAATAGCTCCAGATAATAAAACAAAGTAGGTGTCAGTGTTAGGAAAACTAAAAAAGTTTATATTTAAATGATATGTAAAGATTTCTATTAAACTGTTTTTAAACTCCATAAGAATTTTTTAACAACTGGGAAGAGAGAAGAGAGAGAAAAAAATGGGGGGAAGGAGGAGAGAGCACGGCTAAATCTGGTTTAGATTAAGAATCTTGCAATGATTTTTGTACTTCTTTCCATTAAGAAAAAAAGTTCATTTTTTATCTTTCTAATTCCCTTCTCCCATCTGCAATGCTCCTTTTTAAAGCAGCTTAATTTACAATCTTGGCCTTGACTCTGGGATTTAAGTGCTCAAACCAGTATCAGTCCAAATTTCTTTTTTCTTTACCACAAATACAGTTCCACTCTCAATCCTTTCTACAACTCAATGTATTTGTTTCATTTTGTTTATTTAATCAGAGTAATACACTGGGGAGAACTGCAGATCTTAAGAACTATATGAATTACTAAAGGCTTAAAATGTATTTCTAAACAGAAAAAGAAAGTCAATTTCTTGTCTAATTGAAGAATACTGGGAGGATACCTCAACAGAAAGATAAAGAAAGAGGACCAAACCAGCCAAATTCTTCCCATTTTACAGTAGCTAGTCAGTGGAAAGAACCAGCTAACTGGGGCATAATAAAAGATATAAATTCACTATCTTCACTCTTCTGGGAGTAAAAATTGAGGCTGAATGAAGCCAGCCCATTATCCTATGAACTTTCTACTATTAAAAATTAAGAAACAGGCAAAGAAACTAGAGTAGCCAAAACAATTCTGTAAAAGAACAACAAAGTTGAAGGATGCACATTAATAAATTTCAAGACTATAAAATGACTGTAATATTGAAGACAGAATAAACATATAAATTAATGGAATAGAATTAGGTCCAGAAATAAACACACACATATATAGGCAACAGTTTTTGAACAAAGTTGCAAAGGCAATTCAATGGAATTGAACTAATGATGCTGTTATAATTGGATATCTCTATGAATATAATTTTCAATCAGCCTTGCACCATATGCAAATATTAATTCAAAATAATCACAGCTTTGGCAGTGTAATTCAGTTGGTTGGAGCGTTGTCTGGTACACCTAAAGGTTATGGTTCCCAGTCACGGCACATACCTAGTTTGCAGTTTTGATACACAGTCAGACTGCATACAGGAGGCAACCAACTTATGTTTCTCTCTCACATCAATGCCTCTCTCTCTCTCCCCTTCTCTCTCTCTCTAAAAATCAATGGACAAATCCTTGGGTGATGATTAAAAAAATAAATAAAAATTAAATAAAAATTAAAAAAAAAACCCAGACCTAAAAATAGGTAAACATAGAAAACTTCTAGAGGATAAAGGAAACTCTAGAGGATAGAGGAAAAAAAAAACTTTGTAACCTTGGGCTAAGCAAAGATTCTACCAAAAGCATGATCTATAATTAAAAATAACTGTTAAGTTATATTTCACCAAAATTAAGAACATTTGCTCTTCTAAAGAGATATTGAGAGAATAAAAGATAAACCACAGACTGGGATATAAAATATGTGCAAGTCACATATCTGATAAAGAATGTATCCAGAATATATAAAGAACTCTCAAAGCAGTGTAAG